TGCCATTGTTATATTTTATATGTTAAAGACTTTACATAGCACTTCAACTTAGCATACATCTGAGAATTTTTTCCTTTAATTTTCCTACACAGTATATGAATAAATTAGATATAGATCAACTTGAATTCTAAACATTGATGGGAACAAAACTGCAAAAAGTTAGTTGTAAACGTGTAAAAATATTTTCGCAGGTTCCTCAGCCTTGAGCATAGTTAACATATTAAAAACTAGTGGCAATATCCTTACATATATATGTTTTGTTCGGATTTAACTTGCTATTATATTGACGCAAATAGATAAAATATTCATTTATCTAGCTATCCAGTTAAATTTATACTTAAAATATACTATACAGCATTCATTGGTAAATATACCTAGAGGCGCCTTTTTAAAATTTATTTTGGCATGCAGCTCCACCTGATGAGCCTCAATAAATACTTGTTTATAGAGCCCCGCATTCAATACATTTCTTAGCCTTACAATGTTAATATAACAATTTATTTACTTTATCAAAGTATAGTTCTGTTTTTTATCTTAATTTTTTTCACTCTTTTATTTACACAGCTCCTGATTTTCCTACGCCATGTACTCTTCTCACTGCTTTTACTTACTATCTTGACTTTATCAGCCCTCCATTTCCACGTATTTTGACAGAATTATCAGATTTTGCATCAATGCCTCTTGATAGGTTATTTTTGCTGAATCTTGGAACTCAACGTGATATCTCGCCGGTACATACTTTGCTTTATTCTGCATAGATGATGATACTGCTTAAGTGTATTTAGTTAAATGTTAAAAATACCTACATATTTGTCTTAATGATAAATCTTTGTGCAACTTCTCTTTCCAATAAATGTGGATAAGCAACGCACTAAAGAAAAGCTGGGTTATATGCATCAACTTTACTCGGATATCACATAAAGATCGCAACGTTAGGTATAAGAAGTAGGATTTCAGCCGGCCACCTCTTTTGTTTAGTGTTCTTCGGAGATTGTGTGTATATGATGATTTTTGGCTCTGATGATGCCCATCACATGACGGACGAAAGTTCAGCACAGATTTATCAAGATCAAAGGACTGTGCCAAAAGTTTTATCCACACAACCCATCAGTCATAAATACAAAGCAATCCTTTTTTATGTCTGGTAAGACTGATTTACGAATCCCTTCCAACCTCCTTTTAATACAAAATGAAAGGTATGCCAGCATCAAGCAAAGCATTAGACATTAAGGAATACAGCCCTATCACATATTTTGATTTTTTATCTTAATATTACATTTATTCATCCTATTTCGTTTAAGGTGATGAAGGACTAGTAGTAGAATTTATCTCACAATGATATGAGTAGAGCTGACGTTTCCATTGAATTTTACTTTCCCAAAATTTGTTCTCATCCAAGCTGGACTGCAGTTTTGACCTCGCCTTATCAATACTCTTAGCAATGAATACATTTCATATTACTGATTTACTGGTAGTCTCGAAACTCTACCTGCATACGAAAAATTGTTTATCTTAGACAATAAAGATTCTGCAGGAAAATGGATACCGAAAAATCAGAAGTTTCACAGGCTGGATACGAGATTAATTGGAAGGTAACAGAAAAAAGGTCTTTATAAGGTGAAAGCACAAGGAAACGGAATATTAGAGAGACCATTGATATTCTTGTGGAAATAAATCTAATGATCAATAGCTTGGAATAAGGTAGAGTTAGCTATAACCCTGCCTATTGCTTAAGCAAATTCGGATAAAGCATGAATACGGCAAGGCCAACAAAAAGGAGATATTTTTATCAATGATCTTTTGTTATCCAAAGTAAAAGCGATCACAAGGAAGAAGCGGATGAGGAACAAGTGAATATGTTTTCAGTATAATCCGCTATAAGTAGCAACTACAACTTCAGGAGTCTGAGAGTTGCAGGACTATTGACGGATAATCACAAATTCGGTATTATGGCCAAATTGATTAGAAATCCACTCGAGAGGCAACAGACGACCAGAGATAGACGTCCACAGCTTGCTCAGGCTACACGGATTGCATTAAGAAGATGAGCCGTTGAGATTGCCCGATATCTGCAAGCAAGGGAATCAGAGCCTATGCGATCTACTCTGTGAGGCGACAGTGTACGTGCCTCTAAGGGCGTGAGAAATATCACCTGGAGCAAATTGTATACTTGTACTGGAACCGAGTGAAATCAATCAACTAGAAGGTAAGAAACGGTTCTATGGGCCCATGAGTGAGATCCAGATAGGAGGCCTAAGTCGGATCAGCAAGGAAATATCAAGTGTGATGACGCCACTAAATCTGCCAAAAAAGGAACATCGATAAAGAAGTTGAATATAAGCAAGTCAGAAGTTATAATAGGGTGGAAGTGGGGCAAGAGGGTAGGGATTAGATAGAGGGGCCAGGATAGAAAGAGCAATGATACCTTAACCGTTTGGCATAAAGTTGGTCAAAGGATTGAATTCACTTGTCTCTTTGATAAGTTGTAGCTTGGTGCATAGAATGAAAAGAATCTCACGATGCCGGCGAGACGTCTGGGAATGTATCAAGTCCACGGTCCAACGCTAGGAATTAGGATTACTATAGCAGAGGACTACGTACATGGTGTGTCCAACTAGGTCATTATACCTAGGTCTTTATACCTCTACAATTGCTACTCTATTTTCGAAAAGTATATTTTGAAACTACGGTTAATCTTGGCCAAGACTTTTAGTTAGTCTACTTCGTCCAAAACGACATACTGATTGATAATTTGAGTTATCACAATGAATTGAGCGGAGGACCCAAAAATTCCATTGAAGCTTATTCAGCCTTCCAAAAGTCTATTCTTATCCATGTTAAACCACAGTTTCTACTTTCTATGCCTCATTATTATCTCTTGTGGTATTTAAAGTGTCAAAGTGCGAATTTGATTTGCTTTCCTTTGGAAGTTTGCTTATAGGTTAGCCAGATCACTATAATAATGTTGCTTAGGGAATGGCGCATATGCTTCTATCCACACATTTATGTTTTGAATCCTTATGCTAATTTTCTTGAGACCTTTGAGAGATCGAAACTATAGTCTAGATCCGTTAAGATAGCATGCCTACTGGATGACATGGATTTCGTTGCTAAAATCAAACGGTATCTTCAATTTATTCTGTTCATACTCATTATTAGTCCAAAATGTCAGTCTAAAGTAGTTTATTTTGGCAATTCTTTGTTTAATTTCGACTTATGAGCTTGAACTATTCTCGTATTTACACGGAGTTTAAGAAAGGTTTCTTCACTATGTTCGTTTGAGATATATAGTCTATCTGGCCATCTTTTCCTGCGCATCATTACTTTTGTTTAGCTCTCCATGAACTCGGCTACAGCCATTTGGAAGGGTCAGTTTAGTTGTTTTTGTTTATTTGAATATTTAGATAATCAAGAGATCCTTACTAATTTTCTGAGTATCTTATTAACTCTATCCTTGATGAGAGCTTGACCTCGCTTGCTCTCATTTTTTGGTTTTTGGTTTCTTTATGGAAAGCTGGCCATGTTGAGGCAAGATATCAGAAGTATTACTTATTTTCTGCTATTGTTGTCTCCTGTGTTATGTTCTCTATTGCTATCCCTTTTTGCTGCGAAAAAAGTGGCAATCGTAATCCTGTTACAAACCTCTGGTCGTGCTTTCATAGGGCTTCTTGATGTGGTATCCGAGCTTTTGCTATTATTTTTGATTCCATTATGATGAACGATCCAGCAAAAGCACAATTATTAACTTTTCCATTACATTTAGTCTTCATCACTTCCTCTTATCATTATTTTGATTTGACTTTATCACATCCTTGCTTCATTCTTCAAAGACTTATCGTGAATGGATTCTTGATTCTCGACGTGATCTCATTGCCGTTATTGAAGATATCGAGCCATTGAAACCGATTCCAGTTGAACTTTTTATAAACTGGCTTCCACGTCTTAAGTGCCGCTACTATAGCATTTCATCTTCATCTTTAAAATGCCCCGAGGTGCTCAGTATCACTGTTGCTCTAGTTGACTACACAACTTATACTGGTGAGCACCTAATCTATTTTGTTTGCCATTATTATTTGTGTAACTAGCATATTTTAATTTAGAAAGTGTTTATTTATCAGTATTTATGAAGTATTTTTCTATTTAATTTTTTCATTAAGAGTTATCGCTCTAATAAGGGCATTTGACATAACATGTAATAAACTACGATTCAAATTATTTTTAACACGAGTTTCGCATTAGTCCTCTACTCTCTTTATTGTGATATGACTTTCCATTTCGAAATAAAAGTTTGCTTGAAGGAATTTGTGAAACGGTCTCATTGGAAACTTTGGAAGGATTGCTGCGGAATGAAGACTGTTGGATTACCAGAAGAATTCCTCGATTCACTGTCACCGACACCGATTAATCTGTGACAAACTTTCATCCACATTGTGACAGAGATCAAAGCAAGAATCCATACTTTACGAAATACCACAAAGCATAT